ATGCTGTTAAAAGGTTTTCTCAAAAAGAGTGACCTCAAAAACATACTGACGATAATAGCAGGCTTATCCTTCTCAGGGTTTTTTATTTTGGATGTGAGAAAAGTAATCATAGTGGCCATGGTTGAATCGTAACAACATGGAAGCTATTTTATTGTCAAGAAAATTCTTATTTTATGTTCATCGAGTTAGGGATGCAACAATTACAGATTTTGTTAAACAATTATAGTCTGAGGAATAATCACATTTCCACAGTTACCACATTTATTATGCATTCATTAATTTTAAAACACAACTAGTTTATTAAATCACATAATAAGATTCCTTATATTTTAAAGTGTTATTTATTGCGGCTCAGTAACCAATTAATACAGTACAAAATAAGAAAATACAATAGCCCATTTCTTCTTTTTTTTAAACTTAAAAATAAGTCACTTTTAAGTAACTTTTTGAAAAAAGTTTTTGCCATTTAAACATAATTAATAATTTTAAACTTAATTTAAATGAAAGAACAATAAATACATAAATAACTAAATAAATAAACAAGAATTAAAAAAATGGTCTAACATAAATCTAAGCATCATATCAGCTAAGTATTTCCCTTTTAAAGAGAACAAATTTAGTCAATGATTGCTGAACCTCTTTCTGAAGATCAATTACAGTTGAAGTATTAGACTCCTTGTTGTTTTATATCCACTATTTCTGTTTAATGGAGAGCAGATTTTTTTCAACACATTTCAAAACATAATAGTTTTAATATTTCATCTCTAATAATTGATTTATTTTATCTTTGCCATGATGACAGCAAATAATATTTTACTAGTTATGTTTCAAGACACTTTTATACAGCTTAAAGTGACATTTAAAAGCTTATCTAGGTTAATTAGGTTAACTAGGCAGGTTATGGTAATTAGGCAAGTTATTGTATAATGATGGTTTGTTCTGTAGATTATCGAGAAAAAATATTGCTTAAAGGGCTAATAATTTTGTCCCTAAAATTATGTTTAAAAAATTAAAAACTGCTTTTATTCTAGCAGAAATAAAAACAAATAAGACTTTCTCCAGAAGAAAAAAATATTATCAGACAAACAGTGATAATTTCCTTGCTCTGTTAAACATCATATGGAAATTATTTTAAAAAGAAGAAAAAAAGTCGAAGGCGGCTAAAAATTGTGACTTCAACTGTATATTACAAAATTTTTGTTTTTTTTGCTTTAGAATTGTTTTTTTCTTTGGCGTAGAATTATGTATATTCCATACAAAATATGAAGCTAAGCAGTCTGTTCTTGTTAAGTTACTCGTGGTGCTCTCACGGCATTCTTTAAAGTATTAAAGTATGTGCGCCTGGAATGCATGAGCGCGTCATGCTGCCACTGCATGCACTTTCTGCCAATATGCGTGCACAAGACGTGCACCTCCGTTAGAAATAACAAACTTGCATGTACAAAAGATGAGATATATGAACAGCCCTTATACGTTAATATCCTCTGCCATAGCTAAAAATCAGCCTTTAATCCAGTGTGCATGCATATTAGCCTCTGTGTACAATCTCGGAACTTTAAACTAGCGCAGAGTTCGCATAAATTTGTTTAGTGTTTTGTTCAGTGCAGAAACATGGTGCTTAGAAGAATTCACAATTAATTAACAGTGACGAATTGAAGTGCAGTTAATAGTGAAATCGCTTAATCGTCGCATCCTTTTATAGAGTACAGTTGAAGTCAGATTATTAGCATTATTAGCCTTCTGTATATTTTTCCCTAATTTGTTTTATGGAAAAAATATTTTTTCAACACGTTTCGAAACATGTTTTAATAATTCATTTCTAATAACTGATTTCTTTTATCTTTGCCATGATGACAGTACATAATATTTGACTAGATATTAAGACAAGTATTTAGCTTAAAGTGACATTTAAAGGCTTAACTAGGTTAATTTGGCAAGTAAGGGTAATTAGGCAAATCATTGTGGTTTGTTCTGTAGAACACAGAAAACCGATATTGCTTAAGAGGGTTAATAATATTGACCATAAAATGTTATTAAAATGTTATAGGAAATCATTTGGAAAATATAAAAAAGAAGAAAAAAAGAAGAAGAAAAAAAATCACAGGAGATCATTTTGACTTCAACTTTGACCCTTTATAAGAAGTTTGGGTAGCCCTGCTCTAATTCATCTATATATTTGTTAATAATACTTGCTGTTTATATATTTCTCTCTCTCTGCCAGCTACAAGCAGTTCATTGGAACTCACATTCTTGTAGGACATAAAGATTTATAAAGAACTGATATCTAAAAACCAATCTGCTCTGAAAGTGATTCAGCTAAATATGCGCATTTGTTTTAGGTAACGATGGGCTAATTAACATTTGTGTTTGCGTTCTACTTCTTAGGCTTACTCTTGTGACCTCGCCCCTGATCCAGCAATAGTTGTTTTTGTTTGGTCTGACTCACTTCGTGGGTTAAGTCATCAAATTAAAAAGGCTGTCCAATATGGAATGGTGGTTGCTAAAATTAATGTTTGTCTGTGGAAAAAGGCATCAAAACCACTTTTTAAATTCTGGCTTTCAGATTTTTCTAGCACTTAATATTTATAGAGACTTGGACACAATCTTTCTGATAACATTGCTGGCTTCGAAGGCACCTGGAAACTCTTTTTTAATGATCTGTCAAATGTCAAGGATAACAGTTTAAATGTATGACCCTGTCATTGTTTGCAAGATCATCATATTGCCTGTGCCCACTGGTCTAGAAATATACATGTGTATGTGTAATATTATTAACCTATTTATAAAACTGGAGGAACTGATGTAATAATGATTATAATTTATTAATTTTTTTTGCTGTTTCTTTATTGTCTTTATAGTTGTTGTTGCTTTTTGTATTTCTCTTTGTGGCTTTAAGGTCAAAATAAAAATATAGTATTCAAAAAAGGCAAGTGATATTTATCATGTCCGTACAAAATGAAGGTTAACCTGTCACATTGTTTCACACAAAGAAAAAGCACTAGGCAGTTCATTGGTAAATGAGACTGATGTGATTTCATCTGTTCTAAAGTGAACACCTCGCCGATTCAAATGATCCAGTCAGAGGAATTAATGAATCACTGATCTTCAAATGAACTGCTCAGTGAGACACTTCAGTTAACAATTCACTGATTCAAATAATCTGTTCAGAGCGAGTCACTATGTAACTCTCTAATTCATTTAACACATATTCATTTAACAAATCACTGATTCAAATGATCGAGTCAGAGGTGCATTTCTTAAAAGTAAATGTGGTTCAAAAGCTCCAGTGTTACCAAAAGAGCCCAATGGAATTTAAACTAATAATTTGCAAAATACTTTTTTGTTAATCTTGTTCAGATTAGTTAATTTGTATTTCATATTTCATACTTCATATTGTGAACTAAGTCTGCTGTAAGATGCAGATAATGTTAAAATGTGGATATGATAATATTGGTGTCTAACAGTCTGGGTTTACTCTAATATAATGTTGAAATAATACAAATAATTTCCATGTGTCTTCCTCACTGCCGTAGCACATACTAAACTGTAAAACTAGTATGTTTACATGTTTTTTTAAAAGCGTTAACAAAGTTTGTCCTATGCGATATTAGTTTTTGTAATGTTTTAATTTTTCAACACACATTTACACAAATTTAGTTTTCCATGCAATACTATACACTAAGCTATATAGAACTATAAATATTTTTAGATTGTTAACATGTAATTCTTTATATTTGCAACCTTAAAACGTCATTCATTTTTAGCAGTCATTTTTAGAAGTTTTTATTTAAAAAGTTTCTTCATAAAATAATTAAGTATTTTTATATTTTGACAAGTAAAATCTAACTTTAAACTCTAAAGTGTTAGTTAGTTAGTTACCCAAAAATGAAAATTACCTCCTTACCTCCTTCTCCCTCATGTGGTTTTAAACCTTTAAGAGTTTCATTCTGTTGTTGAACACAAAATAAGGTATTTTACATTATCTATTGTAGAAAAAAACACGATGGAAGAAAGCTAGCAACCATCATTTTTTTCAAAATATCTACTTTTGTGTTCAACGCTATATGAAGAAACTCAAATAGGTTTTAAACAAGTGAAAGGCAAGTACATGTAAAAGAAAATAAATTGGATGAAATATCCCTCTGAGATTCTTACTTTATTAGAATAATGTTTACTTCACTCAAGTATATGATTTGTGTACTTCACCCACCACTAGTACAATCACAATGTTCACAATACACAAAATTAACTATTTGTGTTTTCCAAACAAGCGAGCACTATTACCTCTCCTCTGGTGTGTCCACATGGAAGGTCCTCTCTATGACTGTAGTCCACTGTAGGCATCTAATAATAAAAGTGTTCGGCTTTGGTCGTTCAGTTTTCATCAGCTGGCATTCTGAAATTACAGACCAAAAGAAATTGTAGCCACATTAAAGTTAAAGTACATGCCATCCACCTTTTATTCGCACAAGTTTCAAATTATGAGTAGCACTTCCTGTTTGGGGAACTTCCACTCAAAAAAAAAAAACTGAAATTAATCATTTTTAATAATAAGCCAGTGAAACATATAATTAATATACATTATGAAAACTGAGAGATCTACTTTGCTTGGAGATTTATTTTAACAATAGTTTCACAAGCATATCTGTGGCCAAAGCTCACTATGTTCAATGTTCAGAGTTCACTGGGTACTTTTAGCTTAGTTTAGCATAAATCATTGAATCGGATTAGACCATTAGCATCTCGCTCAAAAATGACCAAAGAATTTAGATAATTTAAAACTCGACTCTAGTGTAGTTAGATCAAATTAAAACCCACAGAAAATTAAAAGTTTATATTTTTAGGCCAATACTAGTGCTAAATTATATATCTATATATGATATTAGGGACTAAAATGGGCAAAAGAAACCTATCACATTTCATTCCGTCTTTCGGATGAGACGTTAAACCGAGGTCCTGACTCTCTGTGATCACTAAAAATCCCATGGCACTTCTTGTAAAAAAGTAGGGATGTAACCCCGGTGTCCTGGCCAAATTCCGTACATCGGCCCTCACGATCAAGGCCTCCCAATCATCCCCATCATCTGAATTGGCTCTATCACTGTCTCTCTACTCCACCAATGTGTGTGTGGTGAGCGCACTGGCGCCGTTGTCTTGTGGCTGCTGTTGCATCATTCAAGTGGATGCTGCACACTGGTGGTGGTGTGGAGAGACCCCCCTCCTGATTGTGAAGCGCTTTGGGTGTATGGCAATACACAATAAATGCACTATATAAATCCACATTAATTACTTATTTCTTGAACAATATTGCGATTTTAATAATGATTTTGACAGACAATTTAAAGTGTGAATCTGAAACTTTATCAAAGACCTGTAACATGTCTCTAAAATAGACATAAGGCATAAAATGTAATTCTTTTCTCAAAGTAAAGTAACATACTGTCTCTAGAACAAACCTATTGCAAACCCGCCCCCCCCCCCCAAAAAAAAACAGATTACTGTGTGTGTGTGTGTGTGTGTGTGTGTGTGTGTGCGTGTGTGTGTGTGTGTGTGTGTGTGTGTGTGAGCACCGTCAAACTTAAGGCTCCGACGTTCTGCTTGACCAGATATGTACTTTTCTACATATCCACAGATTTTTTTTGCCATGCATAGATCATAGTTAGGATTCTGCTGTGACATAGTCCCTTCACATATCGCGTCTTTTGTGAGTACAAGTCCATTGTTTCCAATAGAGGAGCAAGGATTGCACACACATATTGGTAGCGACACGCACGTGCATTCCAGGCAAACCCAGTTAAAAACATCTCTTTTCAGACCAACTAAAAATGTAACTTTTTAGAATGCCACACCTACACCTCAGCACCATAACAAACTGACTGATCAGCTTCATACTTTGTCCCGAATATACACACTTCGGTAGATTAATTACCTCAGAGAAACACAGAACACCCAAACACCCAGTGTTTTAAAACGTTCTACATTAATAAAACTAGTTTCAGAACTTGTTTCTTTTTGTTAGTTTGGCATTAATTGAGAAAATGTTATGATTGGTTCAAATATCATATTTTGAGAAAATCGCGTTTTCAATGCGCAGGCCTAGCCGATACAGTTAGTAACTATACTTTCATTCTAGCTTAATAATCAATAATAAACTTTGCTTCCATACCATGGCTGCAGTAGACACAATGATATTACATTATGTAACAACAGAAAAGTGCAGCTTTTAATAAGAAAATTATTGAAACTCTTTGGTCATTCTCAGGTCAGATGCTAATGGTCTAATCCAATTCAGGGATCTATGCTAAGCTAAGCTAAGAGATCAGCTGAACGGATTAAAAACTCAACTGTTTAATTCAATGAGCCTTTTTTTTATTATTTAATAATGTAGCGTTTCCTTAAATATAGCGGAAATAAAAACAGACTGAAATTACAAGCAGAGACAAAGCTGAACTGAATTCCAGAGCAAACTTGAGCCCATTTCCTACCTCTCCGGCTGCAAGTGTTTGCCATTGTCAGTGTTTTATTTGATAAACAGAGGGTAGCAGTGAGTCTGATGTAAAACAAATGGCCATTAGCAGAGAGCAGCAGCGGGTGGTGCGATGAGCAAGCAAGAGGTGCATTTGCTGGGATGTGCCACAGCGTTTTATATACCCCGCAGCACAGAGGCGGTCAGAGGAGGAAAATAATGCACTTCTCAGATACTTTATGGAGGTAAGAGGGTACAAAAGGTGACATCCAGACTGGGCTGATCGCTGCTGCAAATTTTTGGGGACAATGCCCAGACGACAGGTGAAATGCAACAGTGGCCAATCCCGCATAATGAGGGCCCTCAGCTGGCCAATTCCAGCCATCTCTGAATGACGGCAGGGCCTAAATTTAGACAGGAAGGTTAATGACGACACAGCTAAGGTCATGAAGCCACGCACCGTACAGAACATCTACCTGGGTAGTAGCAGGGGGAACAAAAAATGGAGTCCCAAGCTGAGAGCAGAAAAACAAGGTCACAGCAGCCAGAATGTGACACCTCAGGAGGAGAGCAGGCAGAGCTGACAGTATTGTTTGCTTTGCCACATTAGATCACAGATGACGAGCATTGCTTCAAGCAAGAGTCGCTGAGGAAAGCTAGCTTGCCAATTAAACAGCCCAGAAGCCGCGACTTCCGCTGCTCTCACCATGCAACATCTCTTAAAGGTTTTCTCAAGACCAAAATAAGGTTGAGAGAGTGTCAACGCACAAAACATCAGGAGACAAAATATGGCAGTGAGCTCCAAAGATGTTAGCATGAACTGGCTTTAAAGCCACTTCAGGAAATGTCATGTTTTTGGAAATGTACTATTTGTAAATGAACTCCTTTCAAGTTTGTTTGCAAAAACTTTTTATAAATTTTTTAAGTTGCATACTTATTCTTTATACACAACTGTTCAAAATAGCCAATAAGAAAGAAACCTCATGCACACCGAGGTGCATTTTACACTTCCTTTATTCATTTTCCTTCAGCTTAGTCTCTTTTCAGAGGTTGCCACAGTGGAATGAACCACCAACTATTCCAGCATATGTTTTTTTTACACAGTTGATGGCCTTCCAGCCGCAACCCAGTATTAACACTTATAATTTTAAAATTCATAATGTTACACTTACAAATTTACACTTGTAATTAAACATTTTTTTCATATAATTTAAAATGCTATTTATTTATGCATCTACATACTACATGACAAAAGTTTTCTCGTCAATCATCTGTTGAACTGCATCCCAATTATCACAAATACTGCAGAAGAACCTGCATGGACCCAGGATTTTCACAGAAAAATCTGTCAAGTTTGGTGAAGAAAAAAAAGCTTGTTTAGGGGTTACATTCAGTATGGGGACGTGCGAAAGAGTGAATGGTGACATGAGCAGCCCGATGTATCAAGACATTTTGTCACCTTAGAATTATAAGACTCTATCTGACATTTTTGTCAAAATTGAGTTATTGACATATTCTAAATAAATGACAAAATGTTAAAAACAAATGTTACACACATACAGTTTGCTGTGGAATGCAAAAACGTTAAAGCTCAATATCTCCAAATCATTCGGATAGAACCTTATAATTCCAAAGTGACAATTTGTGCTGCCTATTACATTACAAACCCCAGGAGAGGGCAAATTCTTCAACAGAATAACGCTCCTGCTCATACTTCAGCCTCCACATCAACGTTCCAGAAAGAAGGTCAAAATGCTCTAGGAATGGCCAGCCCAGTCACCAGACATGAACATTATTGAGCATGTCTGGGGTAAAATTAAGGAGGAGGCATTAAAGATGATTTATGTTAAGTGACAAGAGTTTTGTCTAAGCAAAGTCAGACCTTACTGTCCTAATTAAATGATTAAAAATCAAGGCATGATCATAGAATATTTTGGTAAAACAAGCTTTATCTAGAGGCCTTAGCCTTTCATATACAGTAAGCCACTTCTGATACCAAATGATCAACTAGAAGTCAAGTTATTATTTGTTGTTCCTAAAACCTGGATAGGGGACAAGACGTTTGTCAGGTAATGTATTTAATACACACTGTATTGTGTTTATATGACAGTATGAGTGTTTATCTGTGTGTAGTGTTTATTCATTCTATTTAATATCTAGTTATTTTACTAAAACAGATGAAATTATATGAAAACATGAAATATTTCCTTTCCACCAGCTAAAATGTAATACACTGATGATTTTTGTTGATTATTTAAATATTTATATTTTAGCAAACATTGATTTCAAACAACAAAAAATAAGCCACTGCATATATAAAATTAATTTAAGTAATTTTTGTACTTTGTTGACATGTTACGTTATGTTAATATCTTTATAATTACTTCATTGATGCCTTTGAAAATTAGGTTTATCAAAATATATATATATATATATATATATATATATATATATAATCAATCAATAGGCATAAAAATGTGTTAAAGAATGAATAAACTTTAATCCAGATATTACTAATATGTCTTCTAGCTGTATACTTCTACACCATCTTTCTGCTCTAAACAGAACAAATTGGTGAACTTCACAATGCAAAGCGATTTGTCATATGCCGCAATCATTGTTAAAAAAGACAAATTGGTCAATATGGAGAGCGGTGTGCCGGGGAGCAGATGCGGGGCCGGTCAGGCTGTGTACAGGACTGGTTGCGAGCGGGCCGAGGAAGGCAGTCTGGTGGCAGCTCGTTGCACAGGGGGTGAGAGCGATGCCATTTCAGAGAGTGCATTAGGCTATCAGCCTCCCAGCACCACCTGGCCTCCCAGCTTTCTGCAACAGATGTGGCAATCCTCTCCCACTGCCAAGCGGCCCAGGCCGGATGTATGGCCACCCCTCGCTCCTCCAGCCTTTAGATTAAAACCTGGCTGGGCCTGTTGACGGATGGAGGCTTGGGGAGCCGCTCGCAGCACGTGGCCAGAAAACCAGCGCCGAAAGCAGAAAATCCACAGCGTTTCAGAGGGGGAGAAAAGTCACTGTTCTGATGCGTTTATGTCTCAACAAATTATAACAAGAAGGATGTGACTATGTCTGCAAAGCGTTACTTTTTAAATGTCCTGATTGATCTTATTAGTAGAAATGCTGAAGAATATTTTTATCAGATGCCTTCAGATCAGTCCTAATCATTAAATGGTAAATTTAAGCTTTGAAACACGTTTTAACACATTTTAAATACATTTTTATCTGCTTTTAATCAATTTTTATCCTTTTTTTATTGTCTTGTTTCTTTTATTCCTGTTTATGTAAAGCACTTTGAATTACTACTGTGTATGAAATGTGCTATAAAAATAAACTTGCCTTGCCTAAGTAATCATAATTTAGATGTGCTATAGCAAAAAAACTTGTTTTATTTAAGAGATTTATCGGAGAGAAATATTGAAATGATGTTAGATAGATTAAACATTTAATCAAAGAATAAACAGAAGTCATTTTTAACAAAGTGATGCACCCTTTGGAGTCAAATCACCATTCGCTATTATTTATTATATTATTTAATACAACAGATTGTGTTCATCTAAAACACAAAATGCATCTACACCTATGATAACTTGAAGGTGAACAAACTAATACAACAATTAGATTTACAGCTCAGTGATTTAAATGATCTGGTCATAGTCAACCTTGAGTTATGATTTACTGATTTAAATGTTCTGGCCAGAATGATTCTACATTTAGTGACTCAATGATAATCCAGTCAGAGGCTGTGTCTGAAATTGCATACTTCCATAGTATTTGTACTAGTACCTCCATGGTAGGCTAAAAAAGTATGCGAGCCAAGTAGTATGTCAGAATTCGAAAAAAAGTGTGCAAGAAGTACCCGGATGACCTACTACTTCCGGCGAGATTCTGAAGTGCACATCTGATGGACTCTATGCTATCCTATGATGCACTGTGAATCGACACAACTGACGTGGGTAGGTCACAATAATGAAACATAGCAACATCTGATTTCCATTCATACTACTCACATTCATACTGTATAGAACGTACTTTTCTAATGGTCAAGTAATAAACTCAAATTCAAATGCAGTACCTACCTAAACTCCTATTAATATTTCACCAATTCAAATGATCCGATCAGAGCCTCCAGTGAATGACTCACTGATTCAAATGATTCGATCAGCTTGGGCCTCTAGTTAATGATTCACGGATTCTAATGATTCGGTCAGAGTGATATTTCAGTTCAGAATGCATTGATTCAAATGATCAATTCAGAGTAAGTCTTCAGTTAATGTTTACTTTATTTATATAATCCAGTAAAAGCAAGTCTCCAGTAATCATTATTATTATTTACCATAATCATAATAATCAGAAGATGTACATACTATCTATACCATACACACCATTCAAAACCAAATGTGTGAATGTGTATTTAGCTTTCACATTACTACAGACATACTGTATACTGTACAGTAATTTTGCATGCAATATAGATCCTTTAATTGACTCCTAATTCAAGGAGATTCATATGTGTTTTCTCACAAGAGATGTTGAATGAACAAAGTCATTGCATTTATTTAAAGACATCACTTACTTGCAACAGAGAAGTTATTGAGAGGATAGGGAAGATCTGCATCCTGTGGCTTCTCCTTGTATCCGATAAAGGATCCGTCTGTTTTGAGCAGGAAGTAGCGAGGTCTCCAATTCTTAATATATTCACCTGGAGATGAAAAAATGAACATTTTAAGACCTCAATGTGCAAATACATGAATACCCACATACACAAAACACCTCAAACCCACAATCGCACAAACTCTTTTACATAAAATTGATGGAAAAATGCATGTTTTCCTGAAAAACCTCACTGGTTAGTGACAAGCTACATGCGTTAATATATTATCACAAGATTAATTTCACAAACGCAGAGAACAAACATGATTATACACTGCTTATCTGTTCGAATTGACTTAATTTTGACTTTGCGTTTGACTAAACACAGGATTAAATTGTTAACATGTTTACCACAGCAAGTCCAGCTGTCAGCTACTGCATCATCTGCCTTAATCTGAGGGCAGGTGTTAGAAACAAGCCAAAGCGGGGGCCAGCGCCACCAGGTCGGCTTACAGTAAACCGTGTGCCGGATCGCACTGCGCGTGGGGTCAGAAAATGCTCACAGGGGGCAGCAGAGACACCTTTAACCTTTCTATGCTAAAGCCGCAAAAAACAACATCTGCTGAGCAGCTGGTCATGCCATATTATCATGCAAAACTTCTGGTGCAACAGCCTGTGCCATCTAATAATAAACAGCAGGATTACAAGGGTGTCAGCATCACCACGCAGGGGGCAAAGCCGCGCACACACACTCAGGCTTCAAGAGTGATAATGCACACAACATCTGCCTGCTGAGTGATGCATGCTGGATGCTGGAAACAAACGCTCCTGTTCATTTGCCATTTCAGAGGCCGAACAACAGAAAGTTTCAAGTTCGATATTTCCTTAAAAGTGATGCTTGCAGTCAACCCTTACAGAAAAACAATAGCACCATTTCAAAATACTTCATTCTGTGTGATTTATGAGTCATTTTCACCATTTTGTGTCACCAAAATGATGTGTGTGATTTTGAGTCACCAGAAATAAGTCCCTACAGGGTCAACATTTACTGGCACTGCTATACATGTGGGGACATTTGGTCCCTACAATGTAAGGAATACAATGTATACACACAACTGACTAAAACTTCTGAAAGAAAGTCTCTTATGCTCACCAAATCAGCATTTATTTGTTTGAAAATACACCAGAAACAGTAATACTTTGAAATGACATGCTGATTTGATGCTCTGTTATAGTCAGTTATTACGGGTGTTCATTTATTAATAACCATTCTTAATATTACAATCAAGGTTGAAGACTTTTTTTTTACACTTCATAAATTTGGATGAAACAATGATACACTTCAGGATACAGCCATAAAACAGTTCACCTAGCAGTGTCATGGATTTTTTTAGTGCAATTTGACATGCTTTTTTTTTTTTACAATGCAATGTGTTCTGCGTCCTGATTGGCTGTAGACCATAGGTCTCAAACTCAATTCCTGGAGGGCCCCAGCTCTGCATAGTTTTGCTCCAACCCTAATCAAACACAGCTGATCTAACTAACCAGGTGTTCAAGACAACTAGACATTACTAGATCAGCTGTGTTTGATTAGAGTTGAAGAAAAACTGTGCAGAGAATTGAGTTTGAGACCTATGCTGTAGCCCACTGTCAATCAATCTCCTCTGTGTTGCATCTCCAGTACTGTACAGAATGCATTCAGCCTAATCTTTGATCGATAGAAGTGTTACTCTGAAGTGCTGTATTGTATGTTTGCAAGCCTTCTCCCCACCAAACCCCATTTCATCGACAAAATGTTCTGTACTGTCAAAGGCATCCACAGTAGCACCCAAAAGGCAGAGGAAAATGCTAACCATAGCACAAAAAGTTGGACTTCCGGACATGGTAAAGGAAGGTAGCACTTACAAGAGAGAAAGGAGTAAATATGTTAATGTCTATCTGAGAAAACAGTGTATAATAGTGAGGAGATTTACAGCCTTAAAACATCTATAATAATTGTAAAAAAATAAAGCAGACTACTTCGCAGATTTTTACCTAATGTGGGCCATTTTTAGAATGTAAAATTCTAATGCCGTGATTAATGAGGGACCACTGTCATTTGATTAAAAGGAAGATTTTTTCAAAACAAATTTTCAAATCAATATTTTTTTTTAATAAACTGCAGCAATTACTTATGTTGTTTAGTCTATTTAAAATCATGGAAAAAAACTGTGAGATCTATTTAAAAAATTGAATTACATTATAAGAACACAGTAGAATTATATGATGCATTATTATCTTCATATTTTATAAACTGTGGTTAAAAAAAACTATTAAAAAAGAATCATATTGGATTTTAAGATTAATTTCCTTCTTACTTTTAGCTTAACATTATTCTTTTATTATTATTATTATTATTATTATTATTATTACAGAGTTTCCCATTCAATAATTAAAAATATTTAACATTTATTAAATTGTCAAAACTAGTTTGTGGTAGATTTTGAAGTAAATTAAAAAAAAATTATCCTAATTCATCCAGAATCCTGCAGCTCTACTGCTTATACATACTGAATATGTCACTGAAACTTTGCAGGACAAATGTTGTTACTTTCAATCTGGAATAGTGTGAATAACTCTTTCTTCTGTGTTAAAGAAGCTAATTAAAAAAAAAGTTTTAAAAAGGAGACATCAAAACCGAAAGCAGAAGCGCATCCTATTTTTGTCACCATTTGAATCGTACCACTTTGTAAAATCGCAGTAAAATACGCTGAATCTAACCTCAGGACTCCACAGCTGAAATCTGTTGTTGCTCATCGTATTTATTAAGATGGACAATCTGCTTTTTGCAGAAGCAGCGCAGGAGAATCCTCAGACTTGTAGGTTTGTGATTGTGAACTCCTGGTAATTAGCCACGATCTTCTCTAAGTGACACATGAGCCTCGTGACAGCTCTGATCACTTTTTTTTCAGCACAAGAGAAAATAAACAACATGTTCTATTTGTAACATCCACTTAAAGCATAATGACACCAGCTTCTCCTAATTAACACATCAGAGAAAAACACCTGCTCATGTTAATTTGAGGAGACGGAGGTCTTGGTTCGCCGGTGTGCCTCCATGAGGAAGAGGAATCGCTGGGTAGGAGGAACAGCTGAATGCAGGCATCCGTCGCCTTACACTCCAAACATACAACACAAAAAAATATTATACGAGACGACAGATAAAAATGGGCTGAGAGTCGACACGTAAACGGTCGTCATATTCTAGTGATCTTGCATTCGTTTATCTATCACTACCCACAATGTTTTCTCTACAGGTACAACTTCAGATGATTAAAAAGGGCTTGTTGATTTGTCATAATATAATATAATATAATATAATATAATATAATATAATATAATATAATATAATATATAATATGATATAATATATTATAATATAATATAATATAATATAATATTTTAAAGCCTTTGACCGCATTTATTGTCAGAAAAAGATAATCAAATGAATATTTAAAATACAAAAGTAAATGAATTCCATTTTTAAATATTTTGTCATTGTAAATATATTTTATATAAATATATAAGTCTTGTTTTTTATTATTGCATAAATTACATGCATTTCATTATTTATGTACACGAAGATGTGTTTTCAAATGTGCCACACACAACAATTTTGCATAAAATTCTTACATTTTATTACAGTACATTTACAATTAACAATGGATTTAACACTGTATATGCATAAAATAACATTATTGTTTGTGGAGGATCTGAAGGTATAGAAATAGCACAACAGATTTTGATTCTATTTTTATTTTTTCACTATTAAACATTTATAATTAAATTAATTAAACAATTAAAAATAAATAACTTTTATTAATTTTTAAAAATATTTGTACAATAATATAATATAATATAATATAATATAATATAATATAATATAATATAATATAATATAATATAATATAATATAATATATTTCTATTTTTATCCTATTTGTAGTTTTTTATATTTTAAAGCCTTCGACCATAGACATAGGAATTAGGAGTTGCACATTTGATATTAATACTTAAAACACAAAACTAAATGAATTTTTTTATTAAATATTTTATCATTGTGAGGTTATGATTTCACTTTCACATAATTCTTACATTTTATTACAGTACAATAACAATTAATATTGGATTTAACACTGTATATGCATTAAAATAACAAAATTGTTTGTGGTGGATTTGAAAGTAAAAAAAGTATTTTCATATTACCAATTTAAAAAAAATTATTCTGATTACATTTTACTTTTTCCACTGTTACTAATTTATAATTAAATAAATAAACAGTTGAAGCCAAAATTATTAGCCCTCCATTGATTTTTTTTCTTTTTAAATATTTCCCAAACTTTGTTTAACAGAGTTAGGACATGTTCACTGTATTTCCCCTAATATTTTTTCTTCTGGAGAAAGTCTTATTTGTTTTATTTCGGGTAGAATAAAAGCAGCTTTTAATAATAATAATAAAAAAACATTAAGTTAAACATTTTATTTTGAAGTAAACATTATTAGCCCCCTTAAGCAATATTTCTTTGATTGTCTACAGAACAAACCATCATTATACAATGACTTGCCTAATTACCCTAATAGTCAATCCTTTAAATATCACTTTAAGCTGAATACTATTATCTCAAAAAAATAGATAGTCAAATATCATTTACTGTCATCATGGCAAAGATAAAAGAAATCAATTATTAGAAATGAATTATTAAAACTATTATGTTTAGAAATGTGTTGAGAAAATTGTTCCGTTAAACAGAACTTGGGCAGAAAAATAAATAATTCAGGAGGCTTAATAATTCTGACTTCAACTGTAAATAACTATTAATTTAAAAAATCCTGATAATATAATATAATATAATATAATATAATATAATATAATATAATATAATATAATATAATATAATATAATATAATATAATATAATATAATATAATATAATATAATATAATACAAAAAAAGTAACCAAAAATAAACACACAACAACTATATTAAAAAAAACGACTTCTGTATTCTCTAAAGTGATCTTAAACTCTCACACACAAAAGTTTGTTCTTGTTCTTGGTGGACCACTTATGGA